AGGGTCTGCAGGGACAACTGACTGTCAGCTTTCACAGCTTCCCATTCCCACTGCCTAGGGCCCATGCCTCCAACCCTGAGTCTTTGCCCTAAACACCCTTGGATTCCAGCAAAAGCAAAGGCTCCTAGGCCAGCACTTGAGCAGCTCATCCCACAAGTGCGAGCACACACACACCTACCCCCCGACACACACACATCCAGCAAGGTTCAGGACCAAGAATGCACCTCCAAGCAAGATTGTTCAGCTCCTGGAAACCAAATCAGCCCTCAGACCATAAGAATTCCTCTGTACTTGGGCGACGGAACTGAGAGGCACCAAGCAGAGGCTACATCCAAAAAGACTCAGCTCCTCCATGTGGTTTTTGGCTTGGCTTTTCTGCTTTGGGCATGCACCACCATGCCTGACTCCTCCTTTCTGCTTTCTGCAGTGGTGCAGTGTGGATCTCTTTAGCAGAGGGCCTGAGCAGAGATATTTCACACCTGCTGAGACAACCACATGCTCCTACCTCAGGCTTGCAAATGCCTGGACTGCAGGCTCTGGCAGCCACACCCAGCTCCTGCATGGATTCTGCACCCTCTCTTTGGAAACAGCATTGCAGGAGAGGAGGGAGAGGCAGAGGCAGGTCCATGAGGCACATAAGGGAAGCAGGAGAGAAAAGGGCCAGGACTGGAGGCTGAGAAGCTCAGGTAGGGGGCTCCCCCAGCTCAGCACTGCCCACTGGATTTCTAGTTGCCTGTGCGCACCTACTCACAGGTGCAAGTCGCTGCTGCTTGCCCTTGCTCTGGGTCTGGCTTTTCTAAAATGTGCCTGGGAGGAGCCGTCTGTGATGGCACACACCACTACTCGTGGCACTCTGGGAGGCTGAAGCGGTAGGGTCCCCAATTCATGCCTAGCCTGGGCAATGTAGCAAATGATAAAGAAGTGGCCTCCAAATACAGTTTTTCACTTGACCCATCCTGCATCTGTCAGACTTGTCTGTGGGAGACAGTGCTATGCTTTGTAGTTCAGGCTTTGCCTGAAAGTCCTCTGTATCCTAGGCTGCCATGCAACTCAGTAATCCTGTGCCCTCAGTCTCCAGAGTGCTGGGATTAAAAGCATGAGTCAGCATGCCCGGTAGTGCCAACCTTTCTAAAGGAGCTGAAGCAGTGATGGTGTCAGCCAGCCAGCAGCAGGCTGAGGCAGGAGGAGCCAGAGCTGCAGAGCTGCCAAGCTACCAAGCTGCCAAGCTGCAGAGCTGGAGAGCTGCTGAGCTGTCCAGCTGTGGGCCCTCCTGGGAGGTTCCCAGTGATAGAGCAGACAGAAATAGAGCACCCAAACCACTAGTCCTCAGAGAAGCAGCTGAGTTTGTGATTCCTCAAAGGTACGAAGAAATCCTTACAGAGAAGGCAGGTGAAGAGTGAGAAAACTCCTAGAGACAGAGAGAGAGAGAGAGAGAAAGGGAGAGAGAGAGAGAGAACAGATCAGGCTTCTTAGAGAAGAGAGGGAACCTAAGAGTGGGTCACTAAAGAGCACTTTTTTCCAAGGACATTTCCTAATGCCAAGCTGAGAGGTGAGTAGAGCCTGGCGAGATGGGTGGCAGGTGGGTCCGCTCTGGGCTCAGGGAGATGGCAGGGAGAGGCGTTGTGGGAGGAGGGATGGGAAGGGGAGGGGGATCCTCAGGGAGAGAAGCAGCAGCGAGTTGGGTGTCCTGGGGGCCAAGCCTGTGTGACCTGCTGCGCTCCCTCCTCTGGGTCCGTCTCTCCCCAGCTCAGTCTGTGAGCCAGGCACCCATGGCAAGCAGCACTGGCTTGCAGCAAGGTGGATGTGCCTGTTGGAAGTGCATACAGCATTTCCGCAACCCGCTGTTCTTCTACTGGGACACGAAGCAGGAGTAGCAGGGTTTTGAGCCTGGAGGTGTACAGCCACATGCTGATCCAGCTGGAAGCCTGGGCCATGGTAGATGGGCACATCCATTTTCAAATTACCACCAGTCTAGGTGCTGTGAAGATGGGCATCTTGTGTGTTGCAAGTCTGCCCTTATAGCTGGAGGTGTGCAAGGAAGTGTTGAGTTGGCAATGAGTCCAGGGGGGTGGGGAGGACTCAGCTCCCTTGGGACTGTGGAGAGCCACTTGTTAAGACACATTTGAAGAGCTGGGATTGTCAGATGCCAATAGGCTGCACCTGCTGCTTTGTTTTTGAGGAAGGGTCTTTCCATTTAGCCCAGCCTGGCCTTGAACTCAGGGCAGTCTTCCTCCCTCAACTTCCTGACATTGCTGAGATTATAGGTGTGCACCAGTGCATCTGACTTTTAGTCACATCTTTTTGTTTTCATTCATTCCATCTTTTGAGATGAGGTCTCACTATGCAGTTCAAGGTGGTCTTGTACTCATAGCAATCCTCCTGTCGCTATGGGAGGCTGGGATTAGAGATGTGTACGTGTGTGCCTGGCTCTATTTATTCATTTAGTGATGTGGAGGTGCAAGCCAGGGTGTCATTCATGCCACACAAGTGTTCTACCACTAAACTGCTCATGCAGTGCTCCTAGTTTTGCAGAATAGTCGTAAGATTCTGCCCACCACAGAACCTCAATAAAATAAGTCACCTTTTGTTCCCAGTTTTTTTCTATTTTGTTTGGTGTACAGAGGATTTGATCCAGAGTGTTTGCACTGAGCTATATCACCATTCATTTCTTAATTTTTATTTTGAGACAAGGTCTCCCTAACTTGCAAAGTAGTCCAGGTTTGGCTCCAACTTTTTGATAGGTTTTTCCATGGTGCTGTAGAAAAGCAAGAGCAAAGAAAGCACAAAAGAAAAAGGCCTTTTTTGTGGACAAGGGACAGCTGGGGGAGAGTGCACGATTCCCAAGAGGGCAGACAAGAAGCTGAAAGCTTTTATTCAGTTTGACAGGCAATGGAGTTTGAAGGGGCAGGCAGTGTGTGGTTTTCACACAGGATTGTGGGAGTGTTACAACACATGAAAAAAGTGGGGAGGCCGGTTTTCTAGTTTGGAAGAAGCACCCTGAAGTCAGTGTTGGAGGGAGCTGCTGTCCAGTACCATGGTGGGCAGGCACCATGCTGAGGTTGGCAGTGCTTCACATGGGCAGAAATTTCTTTTGATCTTCCTGCCTCAGCTTCCCTGAACCCCAGGGTTTTACGTGGGTGCCATCAGGTCTGGTTTGGTGCCAGCTTTCAGTTCTAGGTTTGAAGAAGTCTCAAAAGCCAAAAGAAACAAAAATGCAAACATTTGAATTTTCTTGGGCTTGTACTCTTTTCAAAAAGAAAGTTCTCAACATCCAGATATTTTAAAGTGTAGCACTATCACACATGGTTTCATTAATGACATTCACTGCCACAGCCCTCGAAGTTCTAGATGCTCCCAGGGCGACACAGGTGAGAGTATCTAGAAAAAAGGGCAAGAGTCAGTATGCAGAGAACTGAGGCCACAGCGAACCCTCTCTTCTAATGGAAAGGAAGGAAGGAACAAGAGAGCTCCAATGGCTGCAGTACCTTTAGTAACAAAGTCGGGAGACTGACTATTGGCTGGAACCTCTCCACCTAAGAGATTACCCTCATGCCTCGTCTCAGGCACCAGTGTTCTTGAGATTGGAGCAGCTTATCCGTGTGATTTGCCTCAGGTGCTCTGATCTTGAGACCAGCCTTGCTCCAGCCCTGCCATGTTGGTGACTGATCATCAGCTGTTCCCCACAGCTCCCCGTTTTCTATTTTATACTTGTAAGTGACGGGAAGTTAGTTGAGGCTGGAGGAGCTGTGTTTGGAAAATCTGTAGATCTTTTTATTCTTATACATTTTTATTTTGAGTGAACTTGTTGAAGCTAAAGATTTCTAGTCCAAAGATTTTGAGTCCCTGCATTTAGTAATTTAACCTGGTACAGTCCGTTAATCCACAGCAGTAATCAGTGAGTAGTGTGGCTGGCAATTGTCACAAGGGATTAGTGATTTAAGTTTCTTTTTGGCATTGTTTTATACTTCTTGTGGTATTGTTTTTCCAAGACATTCAAGACCAAGTGAGAGTGAGACTTGTATTGATTACAATCAATCTCTTGTTATTTATCAAGGTCACTTAAGTTTCCTCAAGAATTACCTTGGTATCATGCACAGCACTTTCTAGGCCTTTTGTCACTGTCAGCCATCTGGATGAGTCATGGCCATTGGTTGACCAAGTTGCCTTCTGTGAAATCTTGAGAGAGCTTTCTCTCCTGGTGACTCTCTTTAGACATACTATACACCACAGATCTTTAACCTCTGTGGTCTTACATCTCCTTGATCAGGAGTTTGTAGTACTCACCAGAGTTTTAGGATGTTGCTGAAAAGGTTCCTTCTTGCCCTGTGCCCTTATAACCTCTGAGGGCTGGGGCCAAAATATTGGCTGCCCTCTTAGCCCATCTATCTTTCTAGTTTCTTGTCTCCATACCTTGGTTGAACATCCAGAAGAGCAGGTTAATGACATGGCATTTTGTAATGAGGACACAGCTTACTATTACTGTGTTATCTGAATATTAAGCACTTTAGAACATTACATACAGCATCACATTTTAAAAACCCTGGGTGTTCTAAAGGTTGAATCTCTTTAGAATGCTAACAGGCAACAGTTATATAATTTTTACCCAGAAAATTTAAAAATAAAACCATAGATGATAATGAAGCATGACAATCATGATGACATTTTTGTGACATACTTAAATTTCCTTTTGACATAGTATAGTTCTTTAATCAATCATCTCTATCATTAAAAAATTTAACTTAACTTGTAAACCTTTAATGGGATGTCACTGAAGAATTCTGTGACCTTGTCTGGACTAAGGCATCTCTAAAATATTGGCATATATATAATATATACATAATATAATTTTGTTGTTATTACTGACTGGTGACCTCATTTTGGACTGACATGAACTTCCTGTCGCAATTAATTGCAGCACAAAAGAAAGCAAATGTCTGAATCTGAAAGAAGATGTCTATCTCCACAAACAATCAAATTTTACATTTTTGAAGCCCAGTAGATCTAGAAGCATAAATAAATTTAATACACATAAGATTAATAACAATCAAATGTCATAGTCATATGGAAACCCTTGCATCAGAACACTTTTAAATCAAAAACTGTGTTGTCTAAATAATTTAAACATGACAAGGACCAATGTGAATCTATCACAATAAAATAGTTTAATATCAATTTTGGGCATATCTTCCATAAGGCTATGGAGATTACTGGGGTCTCCCATTAATGAACAAGCACTGGTTAATGTTACCAGGCAGCTGCTTTTTTATTCACCAGTTGGAGTGTTTTTCATTCATCTCTCCCCACCATGGTCTTAATTTGGGGGGAGGGTAATGGGGATCAAACAAATGACATCACACTTGCCAGACAGTTGCTGTACCTCTGGGCTATGTCCACAGCCCTAACTCTCTTAATTTTTGATACTTATGAAAACCCAGTCATAACTTAGTACATTATTTTTGAACAATGAGAGACTCTCAAGTTGAAATAAACAATATTATGTATTACATTAATATAATAAATTTTAGCATCATTTTGAACAGCAGGCAACCCAGGTGAGACGTGCTTTTTAAGTCTATAACTCAAAGTAAACTCTGATCAAATGCTCCAAAAATGCAAAAGAAAAGAAAATATAGTTGAGCTCAAATTAAAAAAAAAATATCTGCTCACAGGACAAAGAAACAAACATCATCCACAAACAATTTACTTACAATATCCAAGTACACTCAAATATATTTATGGGCAAATTAAATTATAACAGTCTTCTATAATTTTAGAAGTTTGTAATTATAAATAGACTAATTTTTAGGTCAGTTAGCAGAGAACTACTACAAGAAAATTTTATAGGAACAAAAAATTTCCAAAAATGATATATAATTTTATATCTTTTATTGTAACAGCAGATTCTGTTTATTGAAACAAAGCTTCTTCTGAGAGAGAGGCAGAAGGGATCATATCTTATTCTGTCTTAAGAACGCTGGCAATTTTCATCTCTCTTTCTTTTATGCCCCTTCCTAGTAGAAGGTTCTGCTGAAGGGATGAATAATGGCTGTGGTGCCCTTACTGCTTCAGCAAAGCAATCTTGGGCAGAAGGTCCCGCATGTCCACAGCTGGAACAAGAACCCTTGTCACTTTTCTGCTCAGCTGTGGAGGAATAGCCTGAGTGACAGCTGCTGCTGAGGCAGCTACTTGTTTGTACAAATGGCCAGCACTGGCGCAAATCTGAGTCATCTCAGACAGCGTAGCACATGTTTTATAGGCTCCTAAGGCCTCTTCACACCATTTGTTTGCATCGTTAAAGTTGAGTTGTTGAATAGTTAGTTGCTGATAATCCTCTCCCTAACCTGCAACAGGCATGTGGCAAAGTCCTGGAAGTGTTCATCAGGACTCTCGTGGATGGAGGCCAGATCAAGGTCACCCTTTGAAGGAAGTTCCCTCCAAGCCCTTGGGACAATGATTTCAACTTGTTCATATACTTGCAGTTTAAAAGTAATCTATTTACAGCGATAAAGTCACCTTCTCCAGGTAGCATATTTTTGTAAGTTGTGAGTAGTTTTGCTCATAGCCTGATTCATGCACAATTCCAAAAGCTTTTCCTTCCACAATAAATAATAAAATAAATAAGACTTAAACATGCTTTAGTGATTCCCTTCAATCATTTGGGGTCACAACTTGTCCTCTAAGTTCTATTAAACCTAAGGTAAAGGAGGCCATGGTTCCATAGGAAGCAGTAGCTTCTTCTAGGGTCTTAAAAGGTATGGCTTCATGGAACTGTGAGTTGCCCCAATTATTAGGGATCTGGAGTTCAGCAACAGGGCAGCCATGTTGAAATCCCTCCATGGATTCCCCTGCCCATCCAGCTGCTTTTAACGCCAATTGTAAGGGAGAAGGAGAAGACGATTCTACTCGATGAGAGGTAGAAATTTTGACTTGGGATACAAGACTTTTTGGAGCTGAAGAGGTAGAAGCTGCTGCTTGTGGTGCAGTTAGTGTTATCAGTTTTGCCTTGGGCAGCTGTGAAAGTGAAGCCACAGTGAAACACTCCTCTTGCAGGAAAAGATCTTGGCCGCCTCCCACCATGGCTCCTTCCTCATCTGTCTGAGCAAGGCTTTGAGCTCTATTGGTGGGCTGTTGCCTTCCTACTCCTCATCTGCTCAGGACTTGGATTCAAAACAGTGCCCTGGGAGAGAACCAGGCCTCGCCAGAAGGTGATCCCTGCCTGGAAACGATATCATTCTCATTGTCTCATTGGGTTAGGTTTATACTGGTTTATTTTGATTGGTTTTATTCTGTTTTATTTCCTTGGTTTTATCCTTTTTTAAAAAACGGTTAAAAAAAAATGGTGCTCTGACTTGGGGATGAAAATGTGCAGTGTATGTACCATTGCTGCCCCTGATTAAGTATTTTGAAATTTTGTCTTGGTTTATCCTTCTTCCTTTTTGCTCGAAATAAAATGGATTTGAAAATAATAAATAAAAGGACTAGGGAATACAGAGCTCATTGGTACTGCACTTACCTAAAATGCACTAGGCTGTGGGATAAAATCCTATACCAAATAACAAGCAAATAAACTCTAGCTTCTTAGAAAAATAAAATAAAACAGTGCTCTGAACAGAATCATCTGCGGTCATCTCAACAGGTGCACAGCTGCTGAGACACTCTCTAATCCAGTTCCACAAAAGAAAAGTATGGGAATTTACAGTAGAATAAGGATTTCTATAAAGAGCTGCTGTTTTTGAGAACCTACCTTTGTCATACTTAATATTTGATAAAATCAACATACCTCACTCTCTTTGGCCTCCCTATTTCTCTCTCTGTGGTTTCTTTGAGCCTATTTCTCTGCTTTTGGCTTATGTGGTCTATTTCTCTTTCTGTGCACACAGCTAGAAATCACCTCTTATCTATTATCTTATCTGTTTCCTTGTCCCTCAGTCCCTGTTGTGGCACTATTTTCTGGGTCTTCTTGTAGCTCTCAATGTTTCCAGGGTGAGGACTATAAGAGGATCTGAAAAAAGGACAAGAGTCAGTATACAGAAAATTGAGGTCATGTGGAGCCCTCTCTCCTGATGAGAAGGAAGAAAGGAAGGAAGGAAGGTAGGAGAGGAAGAAAGAAGAGGACTGAGGAGGAACAAGAGATCTCCAATGGTTGCAGAACATTCAGTTCTATGCTGGGCAGATTGAGCATCTTGTGGAACCTCTACACCTAAGAGCTTATCCACGTGGCTAGTCTCAGGCACCAGTGTTGTAGAGATTACAGCAGCTTATCCATGTGATTTGCCTCCAGTGTTCTGTTCTTGAGACCAGCCTTGCTCTAGCCCTGACCCATGTTCAGCTTTGGCCATTCCACATAATTCACTGGCACACATATGACTAAAGTAAACGGCGAGGATTGCCATGACCAATGTGACTTCTGAGGTCCTGAGGGTTAAGGACAGTGAGAGGATGAGAAAAACAAAGAAGAGACAAAGCTGGGGTCAGGTGGAGCCCCACTCCCTTGATGGGAGGAAAGGTACTGGCTCCTCCCTGCAGGGGTGTTTATATAAACCTTTTGGCAACTTCATGACACCCCATTGTCCTAGGAACCCACAGTTCAGATTTGGGGCTCGGTATTCTCTGGGCTGAAGCAGCTTCTTCACGTGGTTTACCCCAGGTGCTCTTTGTTCTTAGAATGATAATATTCCAACCTTGCAAATGTGGTCAATCTCCATCTTCAATGGCACCAAACAGAGTGTGTCTGAACGTAAAAAGCAAAAAGGCTCAGTGAGCAGAAGAAATCAACACTATCAGAAATCCTAGCAGTGTTGTCCAAGGTGCTGACTCCTAAGGAGCAGGCAGATTTCCCAGGGAATGGAGACTACCCATCCTTTGTCACAAAATATCTAACCATACATTTACTGCAGGTAATTTGTATTCTACCAAGTAAAACAAACAAATACCAGGTGGGCAAAAAAATATTGTCAATTATCACAGCAGTTGCTAAACAATATCCAGAGTGTGTGTGAGTTAGATGTGGCTTTCCACGTAGAGGCCCCAAATCAGCAGCATCCGAGTTACCCAACAACCTGTAAGAATGTGGGTAATGTCACTCAAAAAGGACAAAATGTGATGTTTAGGAGGCTATAAATAATCCACTCTTTGTATGTAGAAAAGCACAATATATAAGCCACTATACTGGACATTTCTATTAAAACTCCATGGGAAGGACAGGGGGACAGGGAAATAATTTTTCTAAAGTGTCCTAGGGGACAGAGAAGCGACAATCTTGAAAAAGGACAATCCAAGAAACAGGGGGAAAGCACAAGTGATTCCCAGTCAGGCATGGTGGGGGACACCTGTGATCCCAGTACTTGGTAAGGCTGAGAGGCAGGACGATCATTACAATTTCAAGACCAGCATGGCCTACAAACTGAGCTCAAGGCCAGCCTGAATTGCATAGCAAGACCGTGTTTCAAAACAACAAAAAAGAAGCAAATTCCAACTACAAAGACCCACATCCACTCAGCTACTGAGGTGTTGACCCTGGCCACTGACACCCACACACCTCCAGCAGGGCACTGTTAAAGGACTAAAAATTGGGTGTGTAGAATTTAGCTTGTGAGGTGGATAAGTCTTCCATTATGACCAAGGGGAGCCCACAAAGGCCCTGTGTGGTGCCCATCATGGAGTCCGTGGCTCCTACATTGACCTGGATGGGCTGTGTCTGGCGAGAAGGAGCAAGGACACCAGAATGGCCCAGCCACGGCTGGGGATTTAGCTCAGTGGCATAAATGCCTGCCTTGCAAGTGTGCAGTCGTGAGTTCGATCCCTGGTACTGATTTAAAAAACAAGATTGTGTTTAAAAAAAAGAATGCCCCAGCCAACATGCTGGGCAGAAAGCCAAGAATTACGTAGATCACTTACGTGGGAACTTCTTGTCCTGGAGCCGCTGCACAGCCCGGCTCAGCTTATTCTTGAGGTCCACGGTGGCCTGGCAGATGTCCTTCATCAGCTCGTCCCCCACCCTGGGAATGTAGACTGGCTTTGTGGAAATTTCTCGCAGTTTGGATGCTTTCTGGAACAGGCAGGGAGTTAAGGTAGGCAGCTCTGGGGAAGTCTGGGCCTGGCTCTGTCCTTTCCAACCCATAGCAACTCCTGGGACCCACAGGTGCTCAGGTCAAGGAGCCAGCTCAAGTTTTAGGCCTGATGTCACCAGGGCTTACAGGGCCCTTCCAACAACTCTGCCAGTCTGTGGCACAGAAACAGGTGAGACACGGGCCCCTGCTCTCCTCCAGTGATGTCTAGGACAGTGCAGGAACACAGGGCCCTCTGTAGCTTCCCTTGAGCAATTACCCCTGGGCCAGCACCCGGGCACATCACACAGGAAGGGCGGGTCTCACAGAAGGTCTCGGTTTTGAGCCTAACTGGGGTCCAGTCTCATGCAGAAGCTGGACCAGGAATCACTTCTCAGAGAACTCAGCCCTGGCATGGGCAGCATCATGCAGAGAGGAGAGAGGATTCCCCCACCCTGAACTCCCAGAAAAAGGACACTGGGTCTCTGGGGGTGGCAGCAGCCCCCGTAAGCCAGGTATGAGCTCCTCATGGGGCACTGCAGGAGGAAGCAGCAGGAGCCATGGATGGGCTTTTGGGCATCTGAAATGTCATCTAGCACCACAGTGAAGGCAGCAGGACATGATTTGGATAACAAGTGGCACAATAATGGGGCCCTAGGAAGATGGTAGCTGGCCCTGGACACAGGACAGGATCCACTGGGCAGAGGGCAGGGGGCCTGGATGCCTCAGGCCCACAGACGGTGTGTGCCTCCCACAGTTAGGGCACGGCATGGACCTGCAGGTACTGGAAAGAGACAAGGCTGCAGAAAAGGACCTGAGGCAAAGGTAAAGGCTGAGGCCTGGCACCAAGGTCCTCACAGGCAGGAAGACAGAAAGGGCAGAGCTCGAATGCTTCAGAAGGTACTTTCAGGGTCACACAGAGGGAGGACGGGAGGAGGAGGAGGAGGCTCATGGGAGGTGGCAGTCTAGGATGGCCCCACACTCCTGCCCCTCATGGGCCTAATCCCTCACCATGAGGACATGGGATGGCAGTGGGCGGGGGCATCGTTCCTGACTGGCTTACATTACTCTGCAAAGGGGAAGGAACACTGCAGGTAAAATCCAGACTCCATGTCAGCTGACTCTGAATGAGCCAACAGGTGATTTTCCCACAGGAGCCAGACTTAAACAAGTCAAACTGCTTCCACAGAGAGATGGAAAAACACTCTCCCCTTGGCTTCAGAAAATAAGCAGCCAGGTCCACAGAACACCTCAAGCAATGGCCAGCAAGAAAGTGTGTGTGTGTGGTAGGGCTGGATCCCACAATCCTAGGAACTGAATCGTGCCAAAAACCAGCTGAGCATAGAGGACAGGCCTGAAGTCGGAAACCAGCACAGTCTACCCAACTCTGAAACAGCCTTATAAGACCCCAGACACACAACCCAAGAAGCTGTGCCCTGATCCTGGGCCAGGGAGACAGAGAACACAGTTATGTTTTCCTAAGTCCCTCTAGGATCAGTTTTTGCACTGCACACAAAACTAATACAGTGTGCATATTGCTAGGCAGTTCAGGCTGATCTTGAACTCACAATATAGCCCAAGCTGGTCTTGAACTTGTAGTGATCCTCCTACCTCAGCCTTTCAAGTGCTGACATTATAGTCTGTGCCACCACACCCAGCTGATCAGGGATGCTTTTAATGCCTCCTCCAGTCCCAGGTCTGCGAGGACAGAAAGTACTCAGTAGCATGATCCTCAACACCCACCTCCACAAACTCGAACTTGTCCTTCTCAGCCAGGTTGAGCTCGAGCTCATCCTTTAGGATCTGGATCTCATTCCTCTTCTTGAGCAGAATGTGATAAGCACTGTCGAACTCACTGCTGACCCTCTTCTCCTCTTCCTTTATCTTGTGAATAGTGTTGGATTCGGAGGAGTCAATCAGCACCTTCATTTCCCGGTATTCCTGTGTCACCTGCTCAATCTTCCGGCCTACAGCATCCTAAAGGCCAAGGCAAGAGGGTTCCTGAGTGTCCAGGAGAGGGGGCCGAGGTCCTGCGGCTGAACTCAGTGGCAGCAGGGACTGCATGGTCACTGTGGCAGCCATGTGCAACACCCAATGAGAGAAACTGGAGGTCCTCCCTCTGCCCCCCAGGGATTCCAACCTCGGCATATGCTCTACCAAACCTCTCGGACCTCCTTAGAGACACAGCTCAAATATTCATAAGCAGCACTGGCTTTCATTTATTTATTTTATTTATTTTATTTTGTTTTCTGTGATAGGGTCTCACTACATAGTCCAGGCTGGCTTCGGACTCTTGGTGATCCTGCCTTCTTGCCTTCCTGAGTGCTGGGATCACGGGTATGACTAACACACCCTGTAGAAGCAACACTGCTTGAAAAACAAACTTCAAAACTGAGCAGGACATCTATCAACAGGAGACCGGAACAGAGATGGCACAGGGAGGCAGTAAGAGGATGAGACAACACACAGAATGGACGCATTCAGGAGAGGCTGCTTCAGGAGGAGAGGAGGGGGATGGGATGGGGGCGCAGTGCCAGAACTTTCCATGCCCTTTTCCCTGTGGTACTAGGGATTGCACTGGGCTGCGGACAGCCCCAGACCTCTTCTTACTGTTTTTGTGGTCTTTCTTTGTTTCTTTTACTTTTATTTTTTTGAGACTGTCTCACTACATAGCCCAGCCTGGCCTTGGACTTGCGGAGATCCTTCTGTCTCAGTCTCCCAGGAACTAGATTATAGGAATGCACCATCACACCCAGCTGAGACACTTTATTTTTTAAACTATAAGCTCTTCCTAAGTAATTATTTTATTAGGGGGTGGGAGTTGGATTTTTCAGACAGGGTCTCAATATGTAGTTCAGGCTGGCCTTGAACTCCCTAAGGATCCCAGGCTGGTCTACACAGCAGATTCTCATGCTTCAGCTGCACCTGGGTCTACAATGTGTCAAGACTGTATCTCCCTACCATCTCACTCCTGAAAGAATGGCCAGGATCAAGAAAACCGACAACAAATGCTGGAGAGGCTGTGGGGAAAAAGGAACTCTCCTGCACTGCTGGTGGGAGTGTAGACTGGTACAGCCTTTGTGGAGATCTGTCTGGAGATTTCTCAAAAAGTTGGGAATGGAAATCCCATTTATTCCAGCTATTCCACTTCTAGGCATATTCCCAGAAGAACTGAAAGCATCATACCACAGTGATATATGTGCACCTATGTTTATAGCAGCACAATTTGTAATCGCCAGATCTTGGAAACAACCCAAGTGCCCATCAACTGAGGAATGGATAAAAAAGTTGTGGTATTTCTATACAATGGAGTATTATTCAGCTATAAAGAAGGATCACATTGAGATATTTATCAATAAATGGGCGCAGCTTGAGACCATACTCATTAGTGAAATAAATCAATCTCGCATGTATGAATACCGAATAGTTTCCCTAATGTAAATAATGATTCAAATATATAAAAATATGTGGTAATCATGATTCTCCATTAGGTGGCCTTGAAGCCTTATAAAGTTTTCACGCATTAATTAGAAAGGCTTTATTCTGGGCTTCTTGATATGAAAATATTTGAAGCTAGAGTATATGAAGTTTTATCCAAATATTTCAAGGAAAAAGACACTATGGTAACTACTATTAAGTCAGGTTATAAGGTGGTGAAGTACTAGGTTGTTGAAACAGTCATGCTGTGACCTCTATTGTTATACTGTTATGTCCTGTTTTATCTCAATCTCCCCCTTATTGTTTCAAAAAAATTATTTAGTCATTTCTTATGTTTGTCTTAATTAAAGAAAAAATTCAAAAAAATTAGGATATATAAATAGTAACTCTTTTCGATTTCCTATTAACTTGTTTTGAAGTCCTGTAGTACTCCCATGATCTTGTTTTGACTGATTAGACTCTGTTCCATTCTATATGATAGTATCAAGTTTGAAGACATAGGCAACTACTTTGAAGACAATAAGATTCACTAAGATACCCATTCTGGTTTGACTATTGTCTTCTTTGGAAGTCCTGTAATGTTTACAATGCCTAAGTTTTATTGGTCTTGTTCTCTACTGTTTTGTCCAACTTTATAATATCTAATAAGATAGACAATTCTTTTTAAGGAAACAAGGGACAACGTTGATAACCATTGTTGATAAACTTGTACTCTGTTCTACACCATGTGCTATGTCTATCCTTGGTATTGACTGACAGCTTTGTTTTGCCATATTTGACTGTATTCTTCCCCCCCCCCAAAGAAAGTAATAAGCACTAAGGAGTAATAAAATCCAAGATGTGTAAATTTTGTTGTAAAAAAGAGAGGGAAAAAAAAAAGAAAAAGAGCTCTAAGGGATATAACAGCAAGTGTGTTTGGGGGTGTTAAATAGCTGACTTTATCAATGTTTTTGGAACATTGAACACAGCTGTTTGCAGTCTCCCTGTTTGAATGTCCACCTTGTGTTCTTTGATACTGTGATTTGAGGAACTATTTTCAAGAAGATAGTGTGTAATCTACTAGCAGGTGATTTCTTACTGTTATGTTTTTTTGTTTTGTTTTGTTTTGTTTTGTTTTGTTTTGTAGTTCTGTATTGCGTGTACCCTTACGCCGCTTTGGTTTGTTTTGTGTTTTTCTCTTTTTCCTCTTGAATAAAAAAAAAAAAAAAAAAAAGACTGTATCTCCCAAATACTGTGCAGCTAGGCTCTGGGGTCTGACTAAGCAAATCCCAATGCTGAGACACAGCCAGGAGTGACAGATGCAACACTATCACTTGTGCAAAAGGAAACTGCTAGTCAGGAGTGGTGTATGCTGTACTCCCAGCCCTCTGGGAGGCTGAGACAGGAAGATCAGGAGTTCTAGGCCAGCCTGGGCAATTCAATAACTTAGTGAAAACCTGACTCAAAATAGAAAATGTAAAAGGGGGGAAACTAAGCAACCAGCTCACCACCCTGGTACTTGTCCTTGATCCTACTGGTGTGTGGGCTGAGAATCAAACCCATCCTCCCCGCTTTCATTAGCAAATGGGAGTCAGAGATCTGAGCATCTCTTGGGATGTTGACCATATGCATATAGCAAACAAGAGGAATTTCCTTCTACTATCTCTTTGAAGGCAAATATTTTTATCACTGTTTTGCTTTGTTCTGATTAATAGTATTGCTCTGTTCAATATTGTTTCAATGAATTCTATAATGTTCTTGTTGTAGTCAGTGGTTGTACACAGAGTACCACTAGGATTAGCACATGGAGTTTATAATATTTTTATAATGGTCACCGGAAGTTAACACAGGAAAATGCAGTAAATCTATCCGCAACACCAAAGACATAGATTATTTAGTCAAGAGCCTAAACCTCACAGCACATGTCTCACATGAGTCCAGATAAAAATCCAGAGCTCGGGACAATGCCTCCACGAGTCCAACTAGAGGTCCAGATCCCACGAGAAGGACTCACCCCAGTCTGTTTTACGGATCCATGCCAAGAAGACCCAAGGGTCAGCGATGGAAGCAAGAAAGTCTATGCCAGCAGGACGAAGGAGCTGTGCTAGTGGGATGAGGGTTCTACACTGGAGCTGAGAAGTCACACTCACAACAAAGACCAGGGCTATCCTGAAAGGCACCACAGCTGTCCTCAGCAACACGGCGGCCCCGAGCTCCTCCGGCGACAAGCACAATGAGGTACGTGCCAGGAATCAGCGTGACGAGTTCATCCTGGAGACCAAGAAGCACGTGTCTTCCCCTCCGGAGCAAGGAAGCAATGCTCAATGTGAGGACCGAAGCTTCTCCAGGAGAACCAACAGCTCAAACGGCAACTTGTAGGAGAACCCACAACGTCTCCTTAACACCTCAACACTCAACACTCAACACCTCCCTTCTTTTCCTGTATTTATCCTGGCAACTTCCCTCAGGTGGAGCATCTTGACTCAATGCCATGCTGATGTAATCCAGCTGGCATTAAGTTGACCACCAGTTCTTAATCCATAACAGTTCTTTATTTCATTTATTGTTGCTATACCTGATGGGAAGAGCAACTATTATGAAGATAACATGATATACTATGGAACCTATTACCCTTATGCCAGTAACCTGCTGTGAGGTTCTGTACCAGTTTCACTACACAGTCTAAATTGGCTTTGTTCCATCTTGTTCTGTTGTGTTTTACTACATTCAAAATAATTTTTTAACATAAACTTATTTAAAAATAAAATTTTTTTAAATAAAAAATTAAAAGCGCTGGGGATGTAGCTCAGTGAGAAGGTCCTGGGTCCCATCCCCAGCACCACAAGGAAAAGAAGAAGGAGAAAGAAGAGGAAGACAAGGAAGAGGAGAGGAAAGGATAGAAGGAAGGAAAGATGGGAGCAGGAAGGTAGGTAGGAAGGAAGGAAATCATTGTTTTCCTTCTCACCTCCTTTTCACAGCTAGAACAAAGATGTAACACTGAGCCAGAAAAGAAACGCAGCCTGACACGACTGCTGCCATCTTGGTCATCACTTAGGGTCCACTTTCCAGGTCCCCCGGGCACACATCCCAAACCCCACAGGAGAAAGAGTCACTAAGCCGGCCAGCGAGTGTGTTATATGAGCCACTGAAGCCCGGACACATTAACAGGTATCAAGAAAGGCAGGCGCATGCCAGTTGGCCGTGGCCGCAGGTCCCTCCTGCTTTGATGCCACTCTCGACAGGTCTCTGTGCCAAGGTCCTGACACCTTGCACATTGTACAACCCTGATGGATCTGCCGCTTCCTTGATCCGCTGGCCTGTTTCCTTTGTGGTGAAGCTAGAAAACACCCAGCTTGAAACAAAAAGTGAAAGATATTGTGACATGGAGCAGGAGTATGACAAGAAGGAAGGGGGACTGGGTCCCTGAATGATCACGGGGAACACAGCCACCCCACCAGGCTGGGTGATTCTTGTGGGGGCTGTGCTGTCTCCATAAGCACAGTCATCTTCTATCTGGCTGCAGTCTCTGAATTGGGGGGCACTTATCTTTGTAGCAGTTTAACCAATTACATGTTCATCCCACCCTCTCATTCAGCCTCAAGATCCCCTTCAGAAAGGAGGTGAGATTCCACTGTGCGGAGGGAAAAACGAAGGCTCTGGACCTGCCCAGCTGACCACAGCACTAGAGCCTTACCCAGCAGGCATCCCTGAGTAAACCACAGCATGTTAAAAAAAATCCAAGCTTCTTTAAACTGAAGAGAATTCAGTATTATAAAAAATTTTGAAGCCAAGCTTGGTGGTGCATACCTATAATCCCAGATCTCAAGAGGCTGAATCAGGAAGACCACTGTGAGATCAAGGCCACACTGAGGACTACATAGCAAGATCCTGTCTCAAAAGACAGACAGAGAGAGAGAGAGAAAGAGAGAGAGACAGAGAGAGAGAGACAGAGAGAGAGAGAGACAGAGAGAGAGAGAGAGAGAGAAACAAAGGGGGAAAAAGTAAAAACCAAAAACAAATCCAGAAAACCATTTCCACCCTTACCCGAGAAGACTTCTGCCCAGTGTTTCCCTACACTTTCTGGAATGGTTAATGCTGACCTCTCAAAGACAAGTCCACAATCCAGAGCCTGTGATCTTAATGTCAGAGAGAATAAGAGTCTTTTGGTTGTTTGCTTTGGTTTTGTTTTTGAGACAACGTCTCACTATGTCGTCCAGGCTGACCTTGAACACACTACATAGTCCAGGCTGGTCTTGAACTCATGATGATGCCCCTACCTCAGCTTCCAAAGTGCTGGGATTACAGGTGATCAGCTAGAATAAGGGCCTTTGTAGAACTAACTAAATGGTCTTTAGGTGAGGCCGTCCTGATTATCCAGGTGGGTCCTCAATCCAAGGACATAAGAAGAGGTGCAGAAGGAGAGGAGGTGACCACTCAGAGATGGAGAAAGGGACTGACACAAGGCAGCTTCAGGCCAAGGAGCATGCAAGGCCCGGAAGCTGGAAGACCCGGGCAGAGGAAATGTGGCCCTACAACACCTTGGCTGGGGACTTCCGGCCTCCAGAACTGGGACAGAATCTAGATCTGTTCTTAGAAGCCACACAGTGTGCGGCAACTTCTCACAGCAGCCTTGGGAAACAACTGTGTGTCCTTTGCACAGACAGATGCATCCCCAGTGGGCATGAACTTTGGCCTCCTAATTCTGCCTCCTTCATAACTATAAGCATCTTTCTACATTACGGTAGTTTTGGGTGTTTTTGAGTCACAGTCTTGCTATGTAACCTAGGATGGCTTTGAACTCATGGTGATCTTCCCACCTCAGCTTCCCAAGTGCACCTACACGCCTAGCAAGGTTGGGTTTCCAGGCGGCTTTCAGTTTGGTCTGCAATGCATCTTCCTTGGGCACAGGGCCTTCCGCATGCTTTGGCTGGATCCCCTTCATTGCTGAAGCTTGGAGAGCCTCAGCTCCCTCCAGGTTCAGCCTTGTCTGTCTGGCTTGGAGGTTGAGGAGCTGTGGGGCAGGGAGGGCACTCACCTGAACTCTTTGCTTCCTGGCTTGCAGGTCCTCCAGTGCTAGGGATGTCTTGCTGATTTCACTGTTCATGATGCTGAGCTTCTGCCTCAGCTTGCTCTGTGGAGGAGGCAAACAGTAGTGAGATGCCCCTGCTGGGCTGGCCTAGCCCCACCCACACCACCCTTGAATCTTTCTCTCTGGTGTTCCTGATGCCCTGACTCTGAGGCTAAGTCAACAGCACAGGTGTCAGTGCCCTGGTCCACAGTTATTGCCAGCTGGTGTGCTGGTGGTGATTGTGCTCATCACTCCGCCTGTGACAGCTGCTGAAATCAAGGCACAGAGGACAGTGAGGTGTCTGCCTGCACCAGGACGGCTATTTCCACCATGGCAGACCCAGCCACGGGGACAACCCTTCCGCTGCACAGCAAGGCACCAGCCAGAAGCCCCAAAAGAAAAAGACGCAGGAGAAGGGGACCCTCTTAGACATGCCTGAATCCGGGACGCTTCTCCAGGGGCCATACAAATTCAGAAGAAGCTGGGAATCACTTCATCAGCCTCAGGAGGGCAGGGAGCAGAAATCAGGGCCCTGGACTCATCTGGCCACCCAAGGCTGGGACCTGCAAGCCCTGGAGGTAGGACGAGCCAGGCCACAGGGGCAAAGTCCAGCTGTGAATCTATTCGGTCCCACAGCTAAGGTGGCTCAGGCTCTTTTGGCTCCTAGCCAATCCAGAGACACAGGAAAATGAGGCAGGAAGTTAACATCATCCTGGGATTATTTCTCCAAGATGTCATGTCAAGCCGGGAGACAATAAGCCCAGCATTCTGGGAAGGTTAGGCATGAAGAGAGGTTCAAGCAACCTGGCAACTTAGGGACACGCTGTCTCTGCATTTAAAACTAATAATAATAAAGGGATCAAGGGCCATGGATGTAACTCATGTCCTGCTTTCAGTCCCCAGAAATAAACACACAAACACACACACACACACACAAAGTCTTATCAGTATTTGAAGCTCCAACATCCATGCTCCATGCTCTGTGCTGTGCAGAGAAATGAGAAGGGCAGTGCATTGTTTTCACATGCTTATTGTGTGCCAGGCATGGGCTTGGTGCCTTGTACATATTAATTTATTTAAAGCAAGCTAAGACCGATGCTGTGGGGATGAAATCTTCCAACCTTTACAGAAAAGAACACCACAGCACAGAGCAGCTAGGTGCCTTGTGTAAGACCATGGTGCTGTTTCCTGGCACAGCTAAGGTTCTAGTATTAATCCTGTAATCCCAGCACTCAGCAAGCTGAAGCAGGATGATTGCATGGGTTTAGGCCTGTCTGGGATACACAGTAAGTTCAAGGCCAGACTATAATGAGATCCCATTTCAAAAAGTAAAATTATAGCCATGTGACCAAACTCAACATGCTGGAAATTTCTAAGGAAAAAAGAGAAAGAAAGACATTTCCTCTCTCTAAGTAACTGGCTAACGTGTTCTGACCTTCCCTTCCACTTCTCTCCTTCTCCCCCTGTGCCAGAGACAATCAGGGCTGACCCTGACCTTGAATCTGCAGTTGAAGAAGCCACTAAGTCACGTGTCAGGGCTGAAAGCAGAGCCCAGGACCACAGGTCCTTGATCAGGAAAGCCCAAGTCACTGCTGAGGTTTCTGACTGGACTTCTGTGATGCTGCCTCTCCCCTCCAGCCCAACAGGGGGAACCCTGGTACAATGATTAGGAATCAGGAATGGTGACACCCAGAGCTGCTGCAGAGGCTGCAAGGAACAGAGGTCCTTCAGGTCCATGCAGGCCTCTCAGCCCAACAGGACTGAAACCCAAGAGGAAGAACCTGAGTGTCCCTCCAGGAGCCCAGGTGCCTTTCCCTGTCACTGAGCTGCATCCCAGCCCTTTCTAATTTTTTATTTTGAGACAGGGTCTCACTAAGTGGCTAAATTTCTACAGCTGGGCTTCATTTTGCAGTCAGTCTGCCTCAGCCTCCCAAAGGCCTGGAATTACAGAAATGTCCCCACACACCCAAGGTGTTGCCTTTTTATCAGTTTGAGAGCCAATTTAAGATTCAGGCCCCTGGTCCAATGATATAGCTCAGCTGCATAAACACCAGCCTGGCCAGTGCCAGGTCCTGAGTTCCATTCCCAGTACCAAAAAAAGATTCAGGGCCCCTCAGACTGAAGTCCTGGTAAAGCCCTGGATCCTGCCCTAGAAGTGCTTCCCCAGAGCCCCTAATCTCCCCCGCTAGAGGTGGGGTCCTCAATAAGGAAATGCAGGGTGAGACTGCAGGGACTCAATCAAAAGCCAAGCTCTATGGGGCAAAGCAGGGCTGCAGGTCCCAAAGGCTGGGCGGGTTCTCTCCTGGAACAGGCAGCAAAGATACAGTGAATGCTCCACTCTGCCAGGGATAATCAGGGCAGTAAAAGACATATTGGTATTAATCCCCCAAAATACACCCCTTCCCCTTGCACACACGTCTCCCCACATTCTTGCCACTTTCTGAAGGAGTTCTGAGTCCTCTTTCATGACTGTCTCCAGGTGCGCAGTCCTGGCTGCCTTGCTTCCGAATCTGTTCTCGGTGTTTACCTTTCACGGTTCTTTTAACTTTGGGGAAGGTCCAGAAGTCACACAGTGTCACATCTGGCAAGTAAGTTGGACGGAGATGCACTGCTGTCATGTTTTACAAGTCTGCCTTTCTGTTGGATGGCACTCAGCAGCAGCAACCACTGAATTTTGATCACACCTCACTAAGACACTGGTGAAAGAGGACTTCCAGAACTGCTCCAGAAAGTGGCAAAGGTGATGGGACAAGTGGGTGGGGGGGCAGTGGGTGGTGGCAATATTCTGAGGGGGATTAACAGCAATGTGTCTTTTGCCATAATAAAATGTTTGCACATTCATCCATTCACCACTTTTTTGGATCATGCTGTGTGTGCCCAAGTTGCGATGACCACAGAGCTCAAAGGACTTGCCCTGAAGTCCAGCTGTTGAGACCTCGGAGAAAAGTCTCAAGGAGCCCAACTCAGCCCCAGAGAGCCAGGAAGAATTGGACAGGCCAAGGCAGAGGGAGCAAGGCCTGCACCCTGGTCCTGGTACCACCGCCCAACACTGTGACCTCCCCCGGGCTTAAGTCTGCTGTGACAATACCCAGACCAGACTTTTGTCTCCCTGCTATGCTGGCTTTGGGGCTGGCTACACCTCTCCAGCCTCCACTTTGAACCCACAGGGAAAGTACGTGCCCCGAACCACCACAAGTATCCCCAGACCTCCAGACTCTTAGGACTCCAGCTAGCCCCCATCCTCCCTCTACTCAAGTCCCCGGGGCTGAATCCCATGCTCAAAGGCACACACCAGGCTGAGGGCACTATGGCACAAGAGCCCAGCTCTCCTCGGTTCCCATCTGGGTATTCCTGGGCTCTGCCTGCCCTCCCTGGCCACCACAACTCTTTGGCTCCACAAAGCCTTTTGCTCAAGAATGTCCCACGTTCTAGACTCTGGTTAGAAGTCAGCTCCATGAGGGGAAACTGCAGTGTCTGGGCCCCAGGGTTCCCTAGGCCATTTAGTGCATTAGCTCGGCTACATTAGCCTCTCTGAACCTCAGGAGCCATGAACTATGAAATGGAACTAATAGGAACCTCCTGAGTGGCACCAGGTTTTAAGGGGGCATGGAAGCCTAAACACCATCAGACAAGCACAGGCTTGGGGCAGGCAGCTTTACCTCAGTCCTACAAAATGAGCATGTGGGGAGCAGGCAATGGATGAGGTGGGGAAGACTACCTAATCTCCCCTCTGCTCTGTCAATGTGATGCCCATCCTCCCAGTGTCTCCCAGAGCCCACAGGAGGCCTGGAAGGAGGCTAATCTAGGCCAGCAGAGCCCTTCTCCCCAGAAGATCCCAAGCTGGCCTAGTGGTTCTGGAGCCCCCCCACCAGCCCTGGCTTACCTCCAGGTCAGCGCTGGCCTGGCTCAGGGTTACTGGTGAGCAGACCTTGTGCTCCACCAGGCAGCTCTGGCAAATGCACTTGCTGTGCTCAGGGCAAAAGAACTCCTGCAGATGGTAGTGCTGGGGGCATTTGTGGACATGCAGGTCAGGCATAGGGGTCTGTAGAGGGTGGTCCCGGAAGGCCGGGTCGTTGAGGTGCGGCTGCAGGTGCACAAGGCAGAAGGAGGCCATGCACTCCAGGCAGGTCATCACGGCCTTCTCCCTGGGGCACTGGTGGCAGGGCACCCAGTCCTGGTCCTGGACGCAGCCAGTTGGCTTCCTGTCACAGGCCTGCGCGTGCGCCTGATTGGCCTGCCTGAACTGCTCCACCACAGCGCACAGCACAGTGTTCTTGCGCAGCAGCGGGCGCGTGGTGTAGGAGGCGCGGCACTGGGGACACCGGTAGGGCTCGCCCTGGAAGGCCCAGGTCTCGTCCAGACACGACATGCAGAAGTTATGGCCGCATGGGATGGTGACCGGGTCCTTGAAGAGCTCCTTGCAGATGCAGCATGACAGCGCCTCGGACAGCGGACACAGCTCGGCCATGACAGCTCCTCGGACAGCAGACACAGACTCGCTCTAGGAATCCCAGTGGGACGCGCAGAGCAGCTGTGGAGAGCCAGAGACTGGCGACTGTCCTCAGCCCACACCTTGGAAATGAATCCCAGGGGGCGGGGCATTTAGGTAGTCACGTGGGGCAGAGCCACAGGGGCCTTCTCCTTGGTCACCTGCACAGCCTGCTAGCTGGCACTGGGGACCAGGACTGTGACCTGCACAGCCCTGAGCTCCCCTGGGTGAGGCAAGGCGGGGCGAGATGGGGTGGGGCGAGATCCTCAGCTCTGTGGCCCCTGGACTCCCAGACCTGCAGGCAATGCTTTCCTGTGGCCACTGCTTTCCTCCAATCTTAGTCTCCCCGAGGTCCTGGGTTGCTGGCCAGCAACACCAAGCCTGGTTTAGAACATTTCTATTTTGCTGGGATTTGGGGTCACTAAAGTTGAACAAATGTTCACTTTCTCTTACATACAACTTTGGAAATTAAACTCTTTTTTTCCTCAAAATTGTTTAGACGTATCTTTTATTTTGTTTTTGTAAGTTCTATTTTCCCCGCTCTGACCTAGGAGCAGGATTTGTGAACTGCAAGGAGAAAGCTTTTGGAGTGGGTTCCTTGGAATTTGCATTGGAGGACATCACCACAGGGTGATTAACAGACAGGAGCACAGAGCAAATGTCCTAGATTATGTACGACAGCTACTACTTCAGGAACACCTTCTGTGTGCTAGACCAGGCATGCATATTATTTCTTACTGTATCATTGCATCAGCTTTACATTTGAAGTCTCACAATATTTATAAGCAGGGCAGAAATTCCAGATCCACTCTGCTGAACTCAGCATCCTGACTCCTGGTCCCCCAAGTCCTGCCATGTGCTGAATTGAGGATTTAACCCGCCCTTTCGCAGCAGTCCTGGGTTCACTGACTCCATCGGGAAATGTCAGCTAAGCATGGACTTACTAGGCAGAGATTTAGGGCTCACTGAGGAGAGAAATGTGGATAATGAGAGAAAGGAGACCAGCTATAGTTCACAGCTGGGAGCCCCAACAGGACAGGCACAGCAGGGAGTGTTATGTTTTTGGCAGTGGAAATCTGAGGCATTTGATACTCTATAGCAGAAAAGCCAGCTCTGCCAAAAGTGTCTGGGCAAGGAGGCGGGACAAGATCCCAGCACATGAACAGGGCAGATCCCAAGGCCTGCACTGTGGACATCTCGGGAGAACTCCAGCAGGTTGCCGGTTTTCTATATGCAAGCGGAGATCTGACCTCAATCTGAAGAGTGGGTGGCACTGAAAGGACGGTCCAGGCTGAGGTTTGGCACTGTGCTCTCCTGCATGGTGGCCCCCCCTCACGCAGTAGGGTGTGCTTCTTTTCCAGCTTTTATTTGGCACAAACTCATTGTGCAGAGCCTGTTTCTTTTCCTATCTCTAATAAAACTTTGCTGCCATTTGTGATTTTCTTGACCAAGCCTTTTCTCAGCAACAAAAGAACCTAGAAATCATCTCAGGAAGGAGACCCCTGCACCCCAAAACCCGGTAACACAAAATCACCTGGGTGGTTTCAATGGTGGTGTAACGGGATAAGCAGTGTGTTCATAGGAGAGGGTGGAGTATTTGCAATCCAAAAGGGACTACAGGGACTCATTTCAAGGTGGAAGGGAACCACCAAGGCTTATTGTGTTCCAGGAAAAGAGAGAAAATAAACAAACTGGACTTGTGTGCTGACACTGTAGCTAGATTTGAATTCAAGATAACCCTCCTGCCTCTGCCTCCCAAGAGCTAGGATTACCAGGGCTGTGCAGCCCCCACCAGGTTTAGTGTGGACTTCTGACCTCCAGTCACTGGCCTGCAGCAGGCAGGGAGTTACCACTCCTGCTTCTTTCCTTTTCCTAGAAGCTGCTGGTTCCTGCAGGTGGGTGGTGGTGCCCAGCGCTGCTGATTACTGTCTGGCTGCCCACCAGACAGCAAAGCAAAACAAACTGCCAGCCCCACAGATGGGACTCCTGCTAACATCAGGAAGTACAAAACTGCAGAGACCACCCCTGGGGAAACAAATGCTGATGCTTTCTTTTTATTGACTTCACATACATTTCTATCCTTTCTTTTCTTTCTTTCTTTTTTTTTTTTTCTGTGAAAAGTGCTACATTTTATTCTGCACTTGAAAAAAATGTCAGTAACAACTCCTGATCTCCTAAAATTTAAAGCACACATGCAAATAACACTCAGCCCACTTTCTATGTGGTAAAAAAAGCATTCAAGTGAGGTGAAATGGTGCAGCCAGTAGGCGTGGTGGACTTTTGCTTTCTCTTCTCTTCATGTCTCTTCCCGTGTCATCTCTTTTCTTAATCAGAATCATTTCTTAGTCTTGCATACTGAAGGGAGCTGATACCAGGGAGAAAGAAGTGACTGCGGCCTCAGAGCACATCTTGTCACTTGGCTTGGGAACATGGATACTGGGAACCGATTGTAGTAGGCACAGTGTACAGGTTGAGTCATGCATTCTCCAACCACCACCACTGGGCACGTGGGCATCAGCGTGGGCCAGAGGACCCAGGAGTGGGACTCATTGGGCAGATCCAGAGTCAACTCCCCCTATATTTTTCTCTGCCTTAATTTCCTTGTCAAGCAGATGTGAACTTAGCTCCGTGACCTTTAACTGCCCTGGGAGCCAACTTTTATCTAAGAGCAGCAGGTCCAGATAAAGAGAGTACCACTCGCCACTTTACACTTCCCAAAGGCGAGGTCACAGTAAAGCCTGGGCACGGTCGTGAGTTCGATCCCCGGTACCGATAAAAATGAAAAAAGACCAAAAAAAAAAAAAAAAAAAAAGCCTGGGCACAGGTGCTCTGGGGAGGAGTCTTAGTCCTTCAAGTTGGAACCTTACTCTCAGGGACTCATGTGTTTACAAGGATGCGTGACTGTGAGACCATAAAAAGTCTATATGCTCTTTGGGTTTTGATCCCAGTTCCTGGCCCAGAGCTTTGAACTCCTTGAACACTCCAGAGCAATAAGAATGTCATTTCCTTGCCAATGAGATGGGGTGGAGAGGGAGGCCTTAAGAATGAGAGCCTGTGATCAAAGACCAAAGAGACCAAGGAATGATTAGAGCTTTAGAATTTCAAGCCCAAAGTACTGACCTTCGAAGAGAGAATTACTAGAGTTAAGTTAATCACCAGTGCTCATAGCTATGTAATGAAGCCGCCCTGTACATCATAGAAAGGGAATTTAGAAAGCTTCTATGTTGGTAAGTATATGCCCATCTCCACCTCCACTTACTTCCCCCTATGCATCTTTCCCTGGGGTCAATTCCTGAGTTATATCCATTATAACAAACAGACATAACAACAAGCTCCTTGAGTTTTGTGAGCTGCTCTACCATGTTACTGAATATGAATCAAGCTGAATGTGGGAACCTCCAGCTTTGTAGCTGTTATGCTAAATATATTGTGTCAATTTGGGAAGTCTAGAAGTTTAACAAAGTGACTCAGCAGCTGTACTTGGGGGAGAGGGGTTACAGAGGACAGACATTACCATCCTAGGATATTGTTCACTGTGTCAATTCGAGAAGGTCAGAAATTTAACCAAGTGACTCACAGGAGGCCTTAGTGTAACATCCTCAGCCTTTGCAAGAGGAGGGGCCAAAATGGTGTGAGGGCTATGCCCACCAAGGGGAACAGCCTGCTTACACTAAAAGGCAAATGAGGAGGGGCCTGATTGCTGGTCCTTCAGAGGAGCTCAGTGTTTGCCTTCAGCTTGGATGTCTCCTGGCTTCTGGCACAGACTACTCAGATCCCCTTTGGGATTCTCCAGCCTTCTGTCATAGACTTTTCAATGTTCCATGGAAGACCCATCAGCCTCCTGATGCGGACTGCCACGGGACACTGCAGTGAGCTCCAGCCCTTGAGTTGGACCCTTCAGGCTCCTGCATACAGACACCCTGTGCACTTACCCTCATCCAACTTTGGAGCTGACTATGGTAAGCCAATGTTGCAATTTCTTACACATTTGTGTATCTTGTGCTATATCGGTTTCTCTAGTAAACCTTGACTGATACAGTGGCCAAGCAGAGATGAGTGTGGGTACACTGGGTATGCAGGCCTGTCTCAGGTCATGTGGCACCAAGCCTTTGAACCTATGGCGTCTGCCAGGCACTCTCGGTAGCATCACAAGTGATTGGACTGTAGGATGCCCGTCTGGTATCTGGAGAGTTCCAAATTGGGTTGTTGATGTGGAAAAACACACACAACTGATTTCAGAATAATTGAGAGTAGAAATTGATCAGACGGATATATTCTGATGTCGGCCTGGAGGCTATTTAACCAATCCTTCAATTGCTGATTTGGCTCTCAAATTCTAAAAATATTCATACTGCTTCATCATCAGGGGCACTAGGAATGTCAAATTCACACATTTGCCCACTTTGCCATATTTTCCACATTCCTCCTTGGTTTCAGTTTCCAAGTCTTCATAGATCTCTCGTGCACCATCTATGTTCCTCAGTAGACCACTTCAGTAGGACACTTAAGTTTTGCAGTTAGTGGATTGGAATCTGACTTCTTTGATGCATCTTGAGACTCACCCTTCTCAGTGGCATCACCCACCATGATCTTGCCATCATGTTGCTGGTCTTCTGCACCAACAACGTGTTGCTCAGTCCCTCTCATGATTCCCTAGACCCTCACCTTCCGGGAAGCCATACTTCTGCGTGATTTCATGTGCTACTGTGCCATGCGTGTCGGCAAGGAAGCAGTTGCTGGGCCCAGCTGGAGATCTTAGCCGATCCTGTTTCTCATATACTGTAACAACCAGCTGCAGCTCCAGAGGTTTCTGGAGTGAAGGACCAGGAAAGGATGAGAAAATAAGGAAGAGACCAAACCTGCAGTCAGGTGCAGCCCTTTCTCCTGATGGGCGAAAAGGAACTCCTCAACCACGGCAGCATGTTTATTGATACACTCAGAGCGAGGATGTTGGGTTTAACCCTGCTGCCTAGCAACTTGTTTGCCTGGCTGGCCAGGGCCCTTTGCCTTGGAACAGCTTGTTTATGTGGTTCATTTTGGGCTCACTATG